TTTTGACGATGGGCACCGCGTGCTCCAACAAGCCGCAGCAAACGCTGAAGCAGGCCAAGCAGACACTGAGGTAGGCTGTGCAGGCAAAACGAAGGCTACAGTAAGCAGAAGAAACGCAGCAAACTACCGCGAACGAAAACAGGAGTTAACGCACACTCGCGGAGAATCTGCCCACTCGTTCTTCACAGATGCTGGCAGCATTAAAAACTGCTTGCGCACACGTAACTGTTTAATTGTTGTTTAAAACCTGCGTTTTAAAAGATCGCTTTATTAGCTGGGCTTCCTGCCCCATGCGCCTTCCCATAGTCCATTCCATCCTCATTTAACTTACGCACATCTCGACCTGAATCAGCAGAAACTTAAAAAAGGCCAAGCGTGTAGGATAAAGAGCGTGCGTGTAGAGAAAGCAGATACGATTGCAGGAACAAGAAGCTTATTTGCCTGACGTTTCGGAGTCTCGCTCAAAGCCATCCTCGAAGACAACCGCAGGTAATGGGAGCTCAAATAGGAATCGGAAATAGTAGGCAATTAAAATTATTGTGCAAGCAACCATATTTTCACCTTCTTCGTCTGTTCGCTTCTATCGGCAAAGAGAGGGTGTGTAGTAGATGTGTCGCAAGTCCGCCTCGCTAAAAGGTTATTAACGTGAAATTCCCCGATGATGAGCCTGCTTAAAGGTCCATGCTGTGGTCAATTGGGATATTCCGGTCAAACGGTTTTACTGTCTACATCCTACTTCACGGTATAGATATAGACGTGCGACTTAAAAGGCTAGCGCAGGCTAACACTCCCAGAGGTTGTTTTAGCAAACAGAAGTCGCCTATCTTGTCCTAAATTGCGAACATCTTACGGTTCATTTAGGGCAACAATTTAAAAAGCGCTTGGCATTTTTCAACTTTGTGCTACTTCAGGCCGAGATGTGCGCAATTTAAACGAGGGCGGAATGGATTATGGGAAAGCGCATGTGGCAGGAAGCCCAGCTAATAAAGCGATCTTTTAAAACGCAGGTTTTAAACAGCCCTTAAACAGTTACGTGTGCGCTAGCAGTTTTTAATGTTGCCGGCATCTGTGTATCATGCTACTGTTAGAAATGGGATTTTATCTTATTACGATGTAAGGCAGCGTCGCACGGAGAACTATCCAAACTCATTTCTAAACTGCAAGTGAAATCATGTGATATCTGATGAGCGATTTCAACCCGGGTATTTGTTTATTAAGTTACAAATGTGCGAAAAAATGAAAGCAACGACCGAAGCTCCAGTGGAGTTGCATCTAGGAAGGCATTTCCATGACAGACCGCAGAAATTTAACGCTGTCGCACTCGTTTAATTGGTTAACTTCGGAAAAAGTGTGAGAAAACGATGGTGAGAGTTGTTTAGAGTATTCTTAGACTAGCAGTCGATTACACCGTCTAAACAATCTTACTGCCACCTTCAGTCTGTTTTAGGCCATAAGGGGACTGGTCTACTGCCGCACCGGTCTGAAACACGCTGTGGGGGTCAGGTCGCGGTATGACCCCACGGCCTGTCTGGCTTTTGTCGGGCACTCTCGGATGCACATTCAGTCGTGCTTAAATTACCGGAGGTAGGCGAAAGGACGAGAGACAGCTGTCGCTGGAAAAAGAAGTTTATTTGCCTTATTTTTCGGACTGTCGCTCGAACCAATCACCATAGACAATCGGGGATGATGAGGGGTTCGATTGAGGATCCGAAAGCCCTGCGATTGTATCTTCTTCGTAACTGCTTCCCGGATCTCACCTGTTCTTTTAAGTCAGCAGAGGTAGTGTACTGGATGCAGTGTACCTTAAACCTTATCCTAATCTTACATCTAACTCTCATCTTATTCCCAATCCTAATCCCCGGTATTCGGAGTTTCGGATTCGTATTCGACGCCTATCATCAAAAATAAACACAGCTGATGAGGAGGTGGAACGAGAAGCTGAATTGGCAGGCCAATTAACTTACTGTTCTAGAGATCGTATCTCCTTTTCTTTCCGAACTGATTATCAGAACTTCCCTGTTCGCTTCTGTCAGCAGAGAGAACGTAGGAGATGTGGCGCAAGTCTGCCTTACTGACGATGCACCTACTTCATGATCCATGCTTCGATTGTCGTAGTCTGCGATCGTCAAAAGCTTTTACTGCTTACATCCTACTTCAAAGTATAACCGTGTGATTTAAAATTCCAGGATAGGCGGACAGAGCAGTTCTTGTTCCCCGTGTCGTGTTTAGGTGGCTATACAAGTCCTCTCAGTCTAAAGTTATCTTAATGTTACTACGCTGGTGTGACTGGAGACCGAGTGTTCGTTTAT